GCACGGGGCAGGCCACGGCGCGGCCCCCCCGGGCGGCGAGCGCGGGACGGGGCAGGGCCGGGAGGCAGCCTGGGCCCCCAGTCATGCAATAACCTTTTTTCTCTTGTCTCAAAGGAAAGCCTCCCGTCCCCGCCGGGGGGGAGGAGAGGGGCCGGGGCCCGGGAGAGCGAGCCCCCGCGGGAGAATAAACAACGTACACGCGTACTGGTGCTGTTCTGCGTACGTCGCCTTTGTGTGTTCTTTTCCGAGGGGCGCCCTCCCCGCCCCACCCAGCCCCAGCCGGATGGCCGGCTCCGGGGATGCTGCGTCCTCGGAGTCCACGATCCTGCTCCGGCCTGCTTGCATCGGCGGCTCCCCGTGTGCTGGGGCGCGGGCAGGCAGCCGGCGCCAGGGAGGTAGGGCGAGAGGCCGCGGGGGAGAGCTGGGGACGGTGCTACTCCGGTGTCCCCAGCCCCGGAGGCCAGGCCGGGGCAGCGGTGCGGGGGGGGAGCTGGGGCCGCTACCCGGCCCAGGTGCTATGTTTGCAGAGGCGCGTGGCCAAAGCTAAACTCGTAGGGCCACGTTCTCTGCTGGAGCCGCACCCCCACGCCTGCTGAGGGCCTGGCCGCCAGGGAAGCCCACGGGGCAGGGGCCTGTGGCTCCGGCAGCCCCCCAGGGCTGATGGTGCTGGGCTGAGGGCCCCCTGCCTTGTGGGCCATGCCCTCCCCCGGGGCACGCGCCCCCTCTCCCTCCCGCGGTGCTGTAGGCTCACGCCCACGTAGGCATGTGACGCACCCCGGGCCTTCCAGCCGGCTCCTACCCACGTGCACACAGGCCATGGAGCACGCCTTTCCCCATGCACACGCGCACCATAGCACACACCCTGTCACCCCGGAGTGTCGCGGTGAAGGCACATGGCCCCTCCTGTCCGCACGCGCAGACGTGCTGCGAGGAGGACCCCTCTGTTAGCATGGACACGCATGCATGCACACACACGCACACATGCCAGGCAGTGCTGGCAGCTCTCTGCCCACCGGGCAGGTTCTGCGTGCAGGCCTGCATGAGTACACGCCCTCTTCACGTCCGGTCCTCTGGGGCGGCTCGTGCTGGCGTGTGCGCGTGCACGCCTGCATGCATACAGCCCGGGAGGCGGTGCGGCGCTGGGCTGCTGCAGGTGCTTCCCCACCCCCCCATGAGGCAGGTCAGGCCAGTCATGGGCTCCTCCCAGCCCTGGGGTGTGGGGGTTCATGCCCCCCAGCCCAGACTTTTTCATGCCCCAAAAGGGCACCAAGCTAAGCTAGGGCAGGACAGGGCAGGCTGCAGTGCCTCCCTGGGCACAGTCGTGCCCCTTTAGAGCCATAGGCACAGAGATCTGCAGAGGGGAGCAGGCAGCGGGACGTGTGGGGCTTGCCAGGATCCAGCGGGGACTGGGGCCTGGCTCCCTGGCAGGAGGGCTGTGGCTCCACGATCATTCATGCAGCTACACCGGAGCTGCAGCCTGGCTGCCAGGGACGCCCCCAGCTCCCTTGGCCCCTGGGCACTGGGTAGGCCGGGCCATGGAGGGCAGGAGCAGGGTGCTGCTAACCTTGGGCACAGCTAAGCCGGGACGGAGCAGCGAGGGCCTAGTGTAGATACAGCCCCGCTGCCACCAGCCTTCCCCAGGACCCCATGGGCTAGCACGGCCCTTGCCTCTTGTGCTCGTGGCTCTTGGGGCAGGAGGGGCTCAGGGCTGATGTCTGCGGGGGCCGGAGCTGACGGAGAAGGGCGGGTGCAGTCGGGGCAGACAGAGCCGCAGGGAGGGACCGGTGCTACGGCGTGGGGGGCGGCTCCGGCCCCCGTCGCCATCTCCTTCCGTAACTGTGAATGGTGCTGGGGTCTCTCAGGACGCGGGGGCACGGCAGCTTGCTAGCATGGGAGCAGGGCATCCCCCGTGCCCAGGCTCCCCCTGCCTCACCCCCTTGCCCGGGGTGGGGACAACATAGCCAGCGGAGTCGGCCACGGCTCCTGTGCCGCCCGGGCCGTGTGACTGGTGCTAACGGGGCAGCTCCAGGCCCCCGAGAACTGCACGCGCCCCGGGGGGACGGGGACGGGCTTTCTGGGGCTCTGGACCGCCCGGGGGGGGGCACAGCCCAGCCTGGCACCAGCTCTTAATCTTTACGTTTTGGTAAAGCAGGCCGGACGCGCCCTGTCCCCGCGCCGGGCTCCCCCGTCTCAGCCCGGCCGTGCCCCGGGGCTGCGCCGGGGGGGCCGTGAGCCCCGCGACCCGCGGGGAAAATCAGGTCCCTGTGGTCTCTCCACAAACTGGAAACTCTGGGAAGGGACCTTGGGCCAAGCTCTGAGCCGTCTGTTTCTCCCCTCCCCGCCCCCCGCCTCCGCGGGGCTTTGGGGTCTTCGGGGCCATCTGCCGCCGGCCACGGGGGCAGGCCCTGGGGTCCTCCAACGCCCAACGCGCAGCTTTTTAGTTGAAATAAAAAAAGAGGATAAAAAAATCCCCTCCCCCCTGCCCCCCAGATCGGGTTGCAAAGCCCAAGATCGTCCCCATCCCCAAAATACAAAAGCCTAAATCCCTTAAAAGAATCTGCCGCGGGAGGAGGTGACAAAAAAAAACAACAAAAAAAATACAAAAAAACAAGGTGCTAAAACATTTTATTAAAAATATATATTGTTAAATTAAGTCTGCTGTCTGGACAATGACTGTTTGTTTTGTTCTCTTGTAGTGGAGTTTCAAAGAGCACTATTATTTTCCTCTTCTATATTATTATGAAAACAGAAAAAAAAAACCAGAAAGGCATTTTAACTTTGTACTTGAAAACGAAAAAGAAAAAAAACCGACAAAAAAAAACAAAACAACAAAAAAAAAAAACTAAACGAAAGAGTTCATGTGTTTTAGCCTAGGCATTGAAGTAGCTGATGCTTAACTCTTTGTGGGAAATCATGTATTATTCATCCTGACGAATAAACGCTGTCGCGGACTTGGTAACCCCCTCGACCCCGTCGCTTCGCTGCGCTCGAGCCCTGACATTCCATGCTGCCGGCGCCCGCCCTCCTCGGTTCTTTCCTTTGGGCCCTCGGGCCCGGCCGTCTCTCGCCGCTTGGTTTGGTTTTGGTTCTTCTCCTCTTTTTTCTTTGTTTTTGTTTTTTTTTTTATTTTAATTTTTTTTTTTTTTGATTTTTGTTTTTTTAGGGTCGCTTCTATATTTATTGACAATAACTAATGTGCATTTCACAGTATGGTCCGCGGCGGCGGCCGGCCCCGGCCCCCGCCCGCCTGTTGTATCTGTGTAAGTAAATGCTCGTGACATAGCTGTTCTGAACTAATTAAAGAGGTCCATGCGTGCAGCAGATGTAGGGAGTCTGTCCGTTTTCGCTTCCATCCCACCTTTCTTTTTTCTCTTTGGTGCCCAGACAACTATAATAATAAAGAAAAGACAAAAAAAGCTCCTTTCTAATGTACTTGTGCTGGAGAACACTTGAATAAATGTACTGTTTTGTGCAAAAAAAAAAACAAAAAAAAGAAAAAAAAAAACCCCAAACCTCTCACCGTCCTGTGCTTTGTGTCGCCGCCAGGGGTGGGAGGGAGCGAGCGAGCGAGCGGAGGGTTTTGGACCTGCCTGGGTCCTGGTGCCAGCCAGCCGGGTCCCCCAGGAGATGGACGTGGCGCTGGAGGGGCCGTGGGGCAGTGGCTCCGGGCAGCGGGTTGTAGGGAGGGTCGTGCCTGCATGTGGCAGGGCCCTGCCTGGCTGGTGTGCGGGGGGGCAGGGATCCCAGTGGTGGG